TTTAATTGCTAAGTTGGGCCCGTCAGTGATGGGATTCAAATAATTTAACAACTGGTCACGTGACTGGGTGGGCATGGCCAAGTCAACATCACTCATGTTGATGGGCACTTCACCTTAGCTGTTGCAATGTAAAAAGGGTTAACCAGAGAGGCAGTTTCTGTAAGCAGGGCAATAAAGATTAGGCTAGAAACAACACCAGAATGTTTCCTTCCTGTTTGCCTTTCAGAATTAACCCTGTAATGTGGAAACAAACAAAATGAGATTTCTTCCAACAACCGGTTCTCTGGGCTGCTTAGAAAGTTAACAACCGGTTCTCCCGAATAGGTGCGGACTGACTGAATCCCACCACTGTGGCCAGTTCTTCACAATCTCATGAACCACAGCACGCCAGGCTCCCCTATCTTCCACTATTTCCACTAGTTGCCTAAATTCATGTTCATTGTGCTGATGACACTATCTAACCATCTCATCCTCTGCCTTTCCCCTCCTCCTTTCTCCTTCAATCTTTCTCAACATTAGGGTCCTTTCCAATGAGTCCTCTCTTCTCATTAAATGGCCAAAGTATTGGGGATTTAGCTTCAGTATCTGTTCTTCCAAAGAACAATCAGGATTGATTGCCTTGTGCCATGATAGAAGAGTTCAGATTTGTTGTATGTAGTATGTGATTGAATGTGTGTGCATGTTCAAATTTAATTTAATGTAATTATATTTTTCTGAACCAGGCATCACAGTTTGGTGGACCAGAAAAGTTTGAGGTTTTTGCTAAATATGCAACATTTTTTTCAAATTTTAAAATAAAGATATGCAATGGAAGTAATAGCATCATATATTATTTCATCTTCAGTTTCTAACTGAGTATCTTTATAAATCAGTTTGGTGTTAGACTGCTCCCATCTAATGGATAGTTGGGATTTAGGTATTCCACAGTGCAAAGAGAGACCTCCTAAGAGAGAACGCTAAGGTATCTTATAGGTGAAGCATTTAAGCAATACTCAGGGAACTAAGGAGAAACAGAACAGAATAGAATAGAATAGATTTCTTTATTGCCCAAGTGTGATTGGACACACAAGGAATTTGTCTTTGGTGCATATATTCTGTGTGTACACAAAGAAAAATAAAATACATTCATCAAGAATCATAAGATACAACACTTAGTGATAGTCATAGGTTATTAATAAGCAACCAAATTATACTAGGAAAGAAATAAAATATGAATTTTAAAGATAGAAGCAACATGGTTATAGTCATAAGTGGAAAGAGATAGGTACTAGGAAGGAAGAGAAGAATAATAGTAACACAGTCTTAGTAGATAATTTGACAGTGTTGTGGGAATTAGTTGTTTAGCAGAGTGATGGCATTCTGGAAAAAAACTGTTCTTGTGTCTAGTTGTTCTGGTGTGCAGTCCCCTATAGTGTATTTTGAGGGGAGAAGTTGAAACAATTGATGTCCAGGATGTGTGGGATCTGTTACCTCACCAAAATGGTGGATGGCACACATGATCAATTTATGGCAGGATAAGACCTAATATTTCACCATTGCTGTAGTTTCCTCAGCACATGCCCTCAGAAAGCAATACTGATCAGCAAAGGCTAGAAGTGGGTGAAGGGCATGGAAGGATCTGTATTCTTGTGCACTCCAAGGATTTTAAAAAATAATAATCTCAATCAAACTCTACCTGCTTCTTTTAGTCTTCTCTTCCCAATTCACCTGATTGTTTTTTGAGTACTGCTGTACCTCTGTGAATACTACTATCCAAATATTTGTGCTTCATAATAAATCAAAGCATGCCTCTCTGTACATTCTTTGCATAGAATTGGCTTACAATAATTTCACACATTTTTAATTCTGAGATTCCAAGCTTTCTTAATTCTAGCAACCTTGTTTTAGGTAGAAAAAATAATTTTCTTTCTCTTGGTGAGAAACGACTAAGAATCAGAAACTCTTCCTAATGTACTGCAGTTCTATCTTCTGCCAGAAGATAGAACAGAATATCATTTACTGTAGTCGTCTTCTTACAGTGACAGTATTCTTTGCTGAAAACTGGATTAGATTTTATTAGATGTTGCGCGTGAGAAAAATATTTTTCGGCTTTCCTTGCAATTGCTAGATTTAATTTGTCAAAGGATGTAATTTTAAGTCCTGGTTTGCTTTCACAGAAATTAACATCCCAAACTGAAGGTAGAAAGGATGGAATGCCAGTGGCAATTTTGGACACAGTTCATTCCATGAAAGAGAAGTTATGGTTCTCACATCTCAAGAAGAACTTAAAATCTCCACATTCATTCTTCCCTCCCTCCACTTTGCTGGCTTTGTTAAATTTAATTAGCCAGGGGCTGGTTTATTAATCTTCAAAGCAGAACAACTTCTATTTGTCATTTTATAATTGACATAATTTCTTTATCTTTACAAGCCTTTGCAGGAGATAATAGCCATTAAGTGATGTTATTCCCAGCTGCCTTCACCACGAAAACTGAAACAACAGAGATCCATATCAGGAACATAAATACTTACCCACTTGTCCATTTACATTTCTGTTTAACTGTGTTTTTTCCTCCCTTTTTTAAATGAGTCAAGTTATTCTTTAAACTCTTTTAAATATAAACTGGACTAGGTTTTTCAGAAAATGGCTCTCTCTCTCTGATGCCACCAGCTGATTGCCACCCTGACAAAATGCTTGGTGAAGAATGTTGCATTGAACCCATGATAAAACTGTTGCAACCTATTAGCTGCTTTGAAGAGAAAATACTTCGAAGCTGCTTTTCAGATGGCTTGAGGACAAGTTGAAAATAGAGGCAGGGGTCATGGCATAAAAAAGATCTTGCCAAAGGATATCCATGTTGTGGCTAGATGCAAAGATGGGAAGGCTCTCCATCTCGGTTCACAGATAATTCAACAGGTTCAATGGTGGCCAAAGTTGAAAGTTGGCACATGTGTTATTCATCAAGGTTAGACAGCCTCTGTGTGTTTTGGCAGTCACAACCAACAAAAGATACCTTTTTCCTTCTAACCAGAATCGATCCCTGACATTTTTCAACTCAAGTTTCTTTTACAAATATCTTTTTGACAACCAATTTGATCCAATGATTAAAGGCACCAGAGTAGAAACCAAGAGACCCTGAATTCTAGTCCTACTTTAGGCAATGAGCCGGCTGGGTGACCTTGGGCCAGTCACCCTAGGAAGGAGACATTGGCAAACCAATTCTGAAAATACCCTCAGGAGTATAGTCAACACTGACTCAAAGGCACCAAAACAAAGCAATTTAACCAAACAACAGTTTATGCATTAAGGCAGTGTTTCTCAACCTTGGCCACCTGGCTGGGGAATTCTGGGAGTTGAAGTCCAGACATCTTCAAGTAGCCAAGGTTGAGAAACACTGCATTAAGGGTTTGGTAATACATAAACTGCCAGTGACAACAAAAGATGAATGAATGAGGAGGTAGGACAATTCCACCTGCAAATCAGAGATGGTATTCAGCCAGTTCTGACTGGTTCTGGCGAACCGGTAGCAGAAATTTTGAGTAGTTCGGAGAACTAGCAAATACCACCTCTAGTAGTGTAAAATGGGACAAAACTCACTCAACAAATTTCTCACTTAACAACATAAATGTTGGGCTCAATTGTGGTCATAAGTTGAGGACTACTTATATTTCACTTTAAATGACTTGCTAGTTTTCTCCCATTTTTTTTTAAAGATAGCAAAACCAGTTCAGTTTCACAGGTAATAATAATTAATCTCATACTCATCTCTTATGCAAATATTAGCATAAACTGGAACATCTGTTTGAAATCTTTATTCACACTCCAAAAATGGAAGCTTATTTCCATGAACCATAAGGAATTATTTCTGTGCCTTGAGGAAAAACACACCATTTGTTTGTTTGCCTGTTTGTTTTGAAAAATAAAACATCATGAGGTTTTTGGTGGTGAAAGGTGTTTGACACACTGAAGAAACATGTAAATAAAATGAAAATGAAAATTCTGAATTCTGAACCACTTTACAGCTTCTCACTGTAAAAAGACGCCTTGTGGAAAAACAGTTAAACAGAGTCAAATGCCTGAAGAGACACAGGAAATGTCTCATAAGTCAAATGACGAATTAAAGAACAAGATCTTGCTAAAAACAGACATCGGCTTATGGAATTAATGGAATCAAAATGGGATTGGAAGTCAAGATAGATTTTTAAGTTATACCTACTTGAGTTGAATGGCTTCTATTCCTTAAATGGGTACAGAATATGAATTTTAGACTGAGACTTTGTGTGTGTGTGTGTGTGAGAGAGAGAGAATTGTATTGTGTTGATCTCTGTTCAGCTTTTCCACAGTGAAATGAAACTCTTCATGGATTCTTGCAACGCTCTTACATGATAGATAGTCTAGCAGTGTTTTTACCAATTGAAGGATGCTTTTCTTAATAATAAAAGAAGAAAGGAAAAAGAAAAAAAAATACTTATATCCCCAGGCACAATGTTTAATCAAAGCATTATGAACTCCAATTTACATTGGGGTTCATAATCAGAATTGGGGTTCATAATGAGAATATAAATGGCTGCAAAATTTTACCTCAGAACTCAATCTTTTTCCCCTTTGTATCGAACCCTGACAATAATTGTATGCTCCACCCCATCAGGAGTATTACAGTGTAATAAGGAAGCCAATTTAATGTAACCTGACAACATAATATTTTCTCAGAAAAAGCACAGGGACTGCTGCCAAGAAAGCATGAATGGAACAGTACATCACAGGTGCCTAGATTGGACATTCAGCTGCATTCTTTGAATTGTTCTTCTGCACCTATTTTCCTGAAAGTAAAATTTATTGGATTCACCAGAGACCAACTTTAGAGTAGATTTATGGTGTCTTGATGTTATTATATAATTCTTCTTCTAATTGTGCTTTTGTATTCTGCAGAAATAGATGAGAAGAGAATGAACAACAACTCCCAAGATGAAGTAAGTTAATTGCAATTTAAAAATAAATAAATTACTGTTGCGTTGTCTGACAGCCATTCAGAAATGTCTTATTTCTTTCCTTCTTGTACCGCAGCAGAGATATTAATTCTTAAATTGTCTGTTGGGATATACAGGGGGTAGAAGACACAGTCAACTCGATGACATTTATTAAATCACTTATTTATTATTAATAAATGTCATTTATTAAATAAAGTCAGCCTTCTGATCCTACAATATTTTCTTAATAATGTTGCCCTCTATGGTCTTTGCATGACTGATTCAGCTTTGGCTTAATTTGATCAATTTATTAGAGGCGGGAGAGAATGCCAGAAAAATCTGCTCCATCTTTGTTCCTACAGACCCAGATATTTGAACTGAGATCAGAGGCATAGGCTCATTCTGACACCTATCCTAGGGTTACCACATTTGAGATGCAAAAATGTAGACAGCCACTAGATAGCAGCAAAGATTTGGATTTTTCTGCATCTCTTTGTTGACACCCAATGATTATCTGTAAACATGACTTCAAAATTAATTTGAAATTATGAAACTTTTTTCAGGAAAAAAAAAAGATCTTAAACCAGTTAGATATGAAAAACATTTTCTAATCCCTGAAAGACTGTATCCTTCCAACAATTACTAAAAAATAAATAAATCATCGTCATCATTTTTGGGCATTGTCTATCTATGGCAGAATGAAGGCTTCTTCCACATGTTTTCAACCCATACAGTCCTGAGCTTTTCTTTTGCAAATTAGGCCCGCAATATAAATAAAAATAAAAAGATTTAGTACACATGATATACATTTGCTGAAAATTAAATCATAAATTATTATTGCTGTTATTCTGTAAAAAGATGGAGGCTGTAAAATAGTTGCTGTGGCCTGTTCAATTTTCTAGCCATTTTGCTCGCTTTCCAGGATATTTCATTCTATTCCTCTATCTTCTCCCTCCTCCATCATCGGTACTATATGTGCAATCCTCATTGGACAGTTTGGATTACATCCATCCCTGTTTAATGTACTTCTTAACTAACAAATCTTCCGCCAAGTTGATTGACATCTTCCATTTGTGTATCATTAATGCTGTTTTAATTATACAAGGATTTGTGCTTGCCTCTGAATTTTGAAAATTGAAAAAAAATTAAAAAAAACTAGAACTATGATGGTGAAACTATGGCACGTGTGCCAGAGTTGGCACACAGAGCCCTCTCTGTGGGCACATGCGCCATCGCCAGCTGGTCTCCTGGTTTTGGATGAGCACCAGCCAGCTGGTCTTCATGCGCACCGGAGCATTGGAAACCCAAAGACCAGCTGCCTAATGCTCATGCGCGTGCCGACCAGCTGGTTATCAGGTTTCTGGCACTCCAGCGCATGCACACATGTGCACACATTCCAGTTTCGGCACTTGATGCAGAAAAGATTCGCCACCACTGAAATAAAGGAAAGAAAAATAATTATCCAGACAATATAATGCCAGTTAAGAAATGGGTTTCTCCCATCTTTCTGTCCTCTATACAGTATGTTCCAGCCAATTTAATTTTTTACTGTGTTACTTTTAATAGCAAGAAACTTTATCGATTCTTTTTGTTTTTTCAAATTTAGGTACAAACATTTAAAAGCAATAAATCATGACAATCAACCTCCTTTGGAAAATGAATATGGTTAGCACTCTCTGAATGCATCCAATAATTTATTCATACCAAGCATCTTTCCATCCATTAACATAAAATATTATGAGCCATTTTGCATTTCACAGAGCAGCTTATAGAGCTGCTGAATCTTCCTTGATTCGAAGGGATACGTTTAAAATATACACAGCAAATTGGGACACGGCGTTTTAAGTTGAGATTCTTTTAAGAAGCAATATGCGGATTCATTATTTCACCTTGCTGAAATGCCATTAGCTGAACCCAGCAGTATTTCTTTATTTGTTAGTTGAGCAATTCTGGGCAGCTTTAAAAATCTGATGCTAACTTCCAGATTTGGGGAACAAAGTCAAAAAAAGGAGCAATACAACCACCTTTGGAGGAGGGCTCTATTAATACGTGGTGGCATCTGATGAAATGTGAATTGTAGCTCATGAAACTGATTCCTTTTAATAAAAATTGTTAGTTGGAAAACATGCCACCAGTTTCCATCTGATTTTTTTTTACAATCTGATTCTGTAGCCCTGCAAATGGAGAGGGGAATAAAGAAGTTGGCCTTCCCCTAAAATATTAATATCGATTTTTAAAAATTTTCTCAAAGACAAATAAGGAATGGATTATGTTGCTTCAAGCTGCAAGGCAGAAAATATTGCAGTGCAACTACTGCAGCAGACTAAGTCAAGAAGATGCTTCAAAGCCAAAACAAAGAGGCTTCCTTGGTGTAATGATATAGGACAGTGATGGCCAATCTTTTTGGCACTGAGTGCCGAAAAGGGAGCGCGCGCAAATGGCACCGAATGTTGAAAAGGGAGTACTTCACGTACCAGGAAGAGGAGCTGCCCTGGGGGCATGCGCTTACTGGTAAGGAAGTCTTGCAGTTACTGCCGCTCAGGCGCATGGTCCGATCAGCTAGCCAGCATGCATGCGCAATGGAAGACCAGCTCTTCTCTTTCCAGAACTGCTGAACACACAAAGGCCAGCTGATCATTGCGTGTGCATGCACGCCAGAAACCCGGAAGAGGAATGGGCAATGGCGTGTGTGCCAGGCGACATGGATCCGCGTGCCACTTCAGGCATGCGTGCCATAGGTTCACCCTCACGGGTATAGGAGAAAGACCTTCAGAGAAGAGGCTAAAGAAATGCAAAAGAATGGTAAGAGACAATAGCCCACTGCTGCATAATGGGTGGGAAATGAGGCTCATGTGAGGGACCTTCCCTAGCTTCTCAGACTGCAAAAGAGACGGCAGAACATTGGCACTTTCAGACTTTCAAGATTTGGTTACTATAGTCTTACAATAAAGTAGGATTACTTTAGTAGGATTTCCTCTTACAATCTGCCTGGGAAGGCTAACAAGTTTAAAAATGCCATCTCCTTCACAGGCTGAGAAGTTAAGGAAGGTCCAGAGATAGGTTCCTACCAGTTCGCACCTATTCGGTAGAACCGGTTCGTCAAATCTACCGAACCGGTTAGAAGAGGTTCCACCTACAGAAGAGGTTCCAAAATTTTTTGAAACCCACCACTGCTACACGCACACATACACAGAGAGAGAGAGAGAGAGAGAGAGAGAGACAGACAGACAGACAGACAGACAGACAGACAGACTGACTGACACAGAGCGAGAGAGAAAGAGAAAGAAAGGAAGAAATAAATAAATAAAAAAAGAAAAAAGAAAGAAAAAGAGTGAGAGAGAGAGATGAAAGAAAAAAAGAAAAAAGGGACAGAGAGACAAAAGGAAGGAAAGAGAGAGAGAGAAAGAAAGGAAGGAAGGAAGAAATAAATAAATAAATAAAAGAAAAAAGAAAGAAAAAGAGTGAGAGAGAGAGATGAAAGAAAAAAATGAAAAAAGGGACAGAGAGACAAAAGGAAGGAAAGAGAGAGAGAAAGAAAGGAAGGAAGGAAGAAAGAAAGAAAGAAAGAAAAAAGAAAGAAAAAGAGTGAGAGAGAGATGAAAGAAAGAAAAGAAAAAAGGGACAGAGAGACAAAAGGAAGGAAAGAGAGAGAGAGAAAGAAAGGAAGGAAGGAAGAAATAAATAAATAAATAAAAGAAAAAAGAAAGAAAAAGTGAGAGAGAGAGATGAAAGAAAAAAAGAAAAAAGGGACAGAGAGACAAAAGGAAGGAAAGAGAGAGAGAGAAAGAAAGGAAGGAATAAATAAATAAAAAAAGAAAAAAGAAAGAAAAAGTGGGAGAGAGATGAAAGAAAAAAAAGAAAAAAGGGACAGAGAGACAAAAGGAAGGAAAGAAAGAGAGAGAGAGAGAGAGAGAGAAAGAGAGAGAGAGAGAGATGGCC